AACAAGCTTGTTTTTTTGTAAAAAAACTGAGTATTTCGTATTTCTGTTTAGAGCATGAGGTATCATAGTACATCAATTTAAAATAATTCATTAACTGTAAGGCATTAGTTACTAAATTTACAGGTACTGACAATTTAGGATCCTTTATACTTTCTGCCCTTAAATTACCGATAACATTTGCCAATCTTAAATGCTCAGTACAAGTTTGAGAAGTTTGGGTAGGTGCATTAACAATGTTTATAACATACAAGTACAATGAAATAAATTTTTTCATGAGTATAAATAGAACTTTAACTTTTCTAAAGAATCTCACCTAAAACTTTACGTCACATTTTCCAAAAAATTTTTTTTGAAAGAAATTCAGTAAGTGTACATTAAGCATTACAAAATTAGTTATTTATTTAATTTAGACTTTAGTAATATGCACACTAATAAAATATTTTAAAGCAACTTAAATATGTATTCTGTACCCATTTCATAAGACATAATAACCAAAATGTTGAAATATAACAATTTACTAACTAATAATTAAAGTTTTAAAAAAATATGAATTCATGTGTAATAAAGTATTGTTAAATTTTAATAATAATATCCTTGTTATAGCTCGTTTCATAATAATATTCAGTTAATAACAATTATTATGGTTCATACAATGTGCAACTTAATAAACTATTAAGTAATAAAGTTTTTTTTTAGTAAACAATATTTAAATCATAAGTGAAGAATGTATAAGCTTTTGTTGAGTTGCAAATTAGGTAAATAGGCATGAAATGGGGCTTCACCTTACAATGTATCTTAAAATTTTTGTACGATAATGGCTGGTTCACATTTATAAAAAATAACAAATTTAATGTAGAAAAAGACATTTTCAAGTTTATTTGCTGATATTGATTTTAATTTTAAGTATCTTTAATAACTTAATTTACCTTTGTTAACCTTTATCTTATACGTATTTATCGTGATCACTAAATTATTTTACCTACGTGTGCAAAAGTGACACAAGGCTCAAACAAAAGCTGATGATGTCAATGCTTTGCAGTGTGTATTTCTGTACATAGAACGGCCCTCGTTCACGTCCTAGCACATGCGCACGTGAGTAACGTACAAATTCGTAACAAAACGTTACTGTTACACTAAATAATACCAATTGTAATATACTTTCCCCTTCTTAAATTTCTCTTTTTTACATTGTACAATCCTATAATAGTAAAAAAATAATTTTTGGAGTCGTTTATGGTGAAGCGCCACAACAGCATATTTACTCTAAATTGAAACTTTTGCCAATTTTTTTCATATTTTTGAATTTCAAAAGTAAGTACATAAAAAATACACAAAAGGACATAGAAATATTTACTAACTACTCTAAAGTATTTTACAAAACGTTATTTGTTTGTTAAATTGTATAAATTATCATATTTGTTATTAATAGGCTGCGTAAACTGATGTTAATTACAAAGCTAGTTCTTAAATTTTTTAAAACTTATTTTCAATCTTATTTTACTTGAGAAAAAAAAAAAGAAATCAACCGATTAACTTAGTTGCTTAAATTAAAAATGTATATCACTTTAAACCTTAAGATAAATACTTTTTTGGCCGTTTGTCATGACTTACGCAACCTCTTTTGTTTCCTGTGAGAATTTAGTTNATATTTTTTTGAAATTTCAAATAATTTTTATGCATCTATCACTACTGTAGTTCTATTTTCAACTTAACTACATCCTAATTACTAAAAAAAAATTTTTTTTTTACAACACTTTTGTTTTTCATGGTAAAAGATTTTTTTCTTTCTTTTTTTCATAAGATAAAAACAATAATTCTATGATCCAAACATGAATTTTTAGGTCTATAAGAAATGAGATTTAAATTTCAAGTTTAAGGGAGTATCCACCCTATGTATAATAAATGTATATCACTTTAAACCTTAAGATAAATACTTTTTTGGCCGTTTGTCATGACTTACGCAACCTCTTTTGTTTCCTGTGAGAATTTAGTTAAAATAGATTGCAGCATCGAGCATAAATCATAATGCATTTTTGCTGTACAGCTTGACATTATCGTACGTTACTCTGAGAAGCACAAATTAATACTTGAAGTTCAAGAAACGCTTAAAATTGCACTTGCGTATGCATCACAAAAGAGGTGTAACAAAATTCGTCCTGCACACAAGGACACAAAGTAACACGAAAGAAAGATGAGAAAATTATTTATAGATGTGAGATGCACCTCAAAATACTAGGCACGTCAGATCGGCAGTGCCATCGTTTCAGAAAGTCTCTAAGCATGAGATGGTACTAAACTGAACTAAATCTTAGTACTTAATAGTCAATGTAGTACACAAATAGTAAACGTATTACCTTACATGTACAATGCAGACTTGATCTTACACAACTTAAAAGAATTATTGATTTAATAATAGAAAAACTAATACCCCAAACTTTTTAATACAGTAACCCAGTGAGCTGCAAGTTTATTTCACAGTTAAAAAACAAATCATGTCTTAATTTTGTTAATTCTTATTTAAATAACGACGTGACTTTCTTTCTGGACTTCCTTAAGTTTTCATCATTGATATGACAGTAATTATTACAGATTTATAAGTCTTGTATGCTGAAAGACAAATGATCCAAATTATTTATTATAGATACCCGTATTTAAGCAGGTTTGAAAGTATCATTTAAAGGAACGAGAAAGGGGAAGCCCCCTCTGCCCGCGCAGCTTGGCCCTCTTTACCGCGCACCTATCCTGGCACCCCACAAACTCAATATTTTCCTTACGTTTAACGTTTGCATTGTTCAAAATGCACTATAACATGTTTCTAAATTTTACTCGCTGAATAATTAAATAATCATTAAATCGGAGGTAGATTTTTTTTAATACCTTTGCATTTTTAAAAAAGTTATGTCCATTTAAGCGAGACAAAGAAGTTACTTTTCCCAAGAGACGTTATAAATAACATGATTTTATGTTGTTTAAATCTTTTAAAAATGACCTATAACAAATATTGAAGAAATTTATCTAAGTTCTACGTATTCTAGACTATCAAGAAAGCTCTATATTATTGTGATCTCTGCATTTTATTATTACTCCTAAACCTCCTTAAGTAAAATAAAATTTATAAACGTTTTTCTCACAATCATTAACTTTAATTATCAATTCAAAAAATCATGACCATAAGATTTTGCATAAAATAAAATGGTATTGTGAAGCTTTTAAAATTAAAAACTTAAGAAATGTTTGTTACCACTTTGGATCCAACATTTGTGACTAACTACGAAATAATGATAATGTAGGGGTTAAAGCTTTGTTTGCATGGGAATACAATTAACTAAAAATTGTCTTTTTAACTATTTTTTTTAACTACATGAGATTATAAGACAAATTTTGAAAAATTCATTTCCAATAAGAATTTCGCGTATAATTTAATGGTATTTTCTTAATTTCTAAATTCTAAAATTTGAAAAATCTTAGTCATCTTATTAAATTCACCATTTTAAAATTTTTAAAATCTGACCTCGGATTCGTACTCAGTGACTCTAGGGACCTCTAAGTGTATGACAATTTTTTTATTCAACAGTTGTTCATACCAAAAATAGTGATAATACCGTAGCTTTTTACGTTCATGCCCTATTTTGGACCTGTACAAAGTCAGGAGGTGTCATGAATCAAATAGAAAATAAATATAGAAGGAAAAAGGAATACTAAAAAAAAGAAATCATGGTGTACTTTACGAGACTTAAGATTTAAACTTTCAATCCCTCAAATAAGGGTGGAAACTTTTATTGTGTTTTACAGAAAAAATACTATTAAAATAATAATTGAAGAATTTAGACTTTAGTAATATGCAACTATAACTATGACGATCGCTTTTTAACTATTTAAGTTTTTAGGGATCAAATTTTTTTTCAGAGCTTGATTGCATAACACATACAAATATCTGTGATCATCCAGTTGAGATTTTACTTTGTTTAATGATTTAAAAAACTATTCTTCTAGAAAATTCCANCCATTTTCAATATATTTTCAGTACATAGAGCCCCAGCTACGCCCTTTATGGCCTTATACCCCGTAATAAGGTCATGGATATACAGTAAATCACTAAAATAAATTTTAAAATGATATACTTTCAACGACGTTTTTAAAATGCGAAAAAAAATTTTTAAGTTGAAATTCATAATCTTTTAAATGAGTTAATTATTTTTCCAAAATGTCGAGAAATAATAATTTTCACCTCCCCACCCCGAAATAAAATCTGTGAATTTGAAAACATTTCAAAATCAAAACACAAATTACCAATGTATTTTATAATTAAGTTTTGATTTATGTAACCGAAACATTACAGTTCCTCTAACCTGGTGTTTTTCTGGTGACAGGCAACACCAGATACAAAACCAACACTGCAATTGACGCCCTGGGTAATAAAAATAATTTTCGCATCTTGTGCCCAAACCTAAAACACCTGCTTTATTTGAGCATGCAAGTTGTACTTGGTGACCTATAAGGTACAAAATGGCCATTATTTTGAAGAAATAAAAGAAATTTTATTTTCGTTAATATACATTAAAAAATCGCAAATTCAGTGTTGAAATAAAAATCAAAAATTTGTGACCATCACAGACAGTAATGATGTTAGTCAAAAAGTCTGAAAATATTTGTGTAACGCTTCCTCGACAAGCACTGTCGATTTCCATATGTTTAAAAACAATTTTTTTGTCACTCCATGTTTCATGGAAAGACCCATATAAAATAATTTGTAACTAAAATCTTATAAATGTACAGTTATGCGTTTTTTCTTTCTTTCCTATTGAAAACTTCCAATAGATTCCAATGCATTATGGTCGAGTATTCGTATCCTTTAGTGTCTTTTTGTTAGGTATAAAATGTGTTTTGGTTAATTTCTGTAATAGAAGATTTCTAAAATGTTTTCAGCAATAAAACTAAACCTTTTTATAGGATAACTATTTTCCACTTGTTACTGTTGTTTCACGAATGTTTTTTTACAGATTGGAATCAACCCTGGGCTGTTTGCTGCATACAAAGGTCACCACTATGCTGGCCCAGGCAACCATTTTTGTGAGTATTCAAAGAAAAGTACTCATGTATTTATATAATTATACTTCAGCACACAGGATGTACTCTAACTGCTGTAAAGTATCTTACCATTTTTATCAAAGCTGTTGCTAGCTTGTAATGTTTATTTGCACTCATATTTAATATATAATGCAATAGTAAATCTTGCATATCAGGACATTTCACTGCATCTTAAAAATAATCACGGCAAATATTATTAAAACAATTAATAGTACATTATGGTCATACGTACGTTTTCTATACAGAACTAATTTAGCAGTATAAGTCAAAAAAAAAATTTGTTGTTACTTTTAAAAAAGGTACAGTATTCATTATGTTTTAATAAATTAAACTAGACTTTATTTGACACAAAAAAACCTTATGAGCTATTAAATGAGATTTAAATTTCAAGTTTAAGGGAGTATCCACCCTATGTATAATAACGTCAAGATTTTTGTAACATTTGAAATGTAGGTTAATAACTGCAAGATAAAGCTGCAGTAAAAATTTCAAGACGGTTCACAGTCTTAGAAGCGAGTTATTAATGAAAATGTATTTTTAATTTAACATAGCATTTAATAGGTGTACGCATTTTTTGCCCCTTTATCTGTTTATATCTCAATAAATAACGTCAAGATTGAGGTAACATTGTTTTATAAGAAGAAGAATATATTCAAGGATCACATTAGTGTTCTTTAAATAACCATTTAGTGAATGTAAAATTACTAATAAATAAAAAAACAAGCAAAAAACTAGGTTAAAACTAATATATACATGTATACAACGTATTAAAAATTATGCCAGTACTATAGTTTTCTACAGTGAATTAATCTAGTCAATAAAGGGGATACTCCCTCTCCAATTACCTTATGATACCTAACTGTATTTTGATGTCAGAGCAGCAACCGAATTCTCATGAGTTAAATTTCCTATAAAATTTTCTTAAGTTTATGATTAAACGAATCTACAGACCAACACTACCTGGGACTCAAAGGTTGCCGTCATTATCTCTTTCACACTCAGAAAGAGCCTGAAGTCATCCAGAAGAAATTTACACAGAATCAAGTTGGAAGAGATAAGAGAATCTATACAGTGAGAGAAATTTTTGATAAACTTTATGGTGAATTTCCGTAAAAATTACCGTGCAGAACGGTAAACGTGGGACTAGGTCGTCACTCCGGACTTTTTACCTAAGCTTAATAATTTTTACCGTTACGCCCAGTAAAAATCATCGGGCGTCCAACAAAAATTCCCCTTACGACTCACAAGTGTTTGTTCACTGTAGGTAAAACAGAGAGGTAGTTGAATTGCATTGTATTTGTAGCAATAAAATTATTATAGTATTATACGTTTTTTATTATAGTATACACGTTCTTTCAAAATCATATGTAGATCGGACAGTTCGCTTGCAATGTCAAATCGGGGTAGGTTACAAGTGTTTAAATAAATTAAATTAATACATTCTAATAATTGTAAAGAAATATTTATTTAAAATTGTACAATGTCTAACTGGGAAGATGGCTATTTGCAGAAATGTCTGTATCTCTATTTTTCTTAATAACATACGAAAAAAGGGGTGGAGAATGCATGAAAGCATGTATGTCAGTAAATCCATACGAGAAAAATGATTGTTAGCGTTGCTGCATTGTGATGGGATCCTCTTACCTCTCAGAACCTTTCCCCGACTAACTATGATAAACGTATTAAAGTCAAAAGACTACTGTAATCATAAATGGAACAAGTGTTTTCTTTGATAATTTTGCAACAAAAGATTAGGATGTGCTAAATGACATAAGATAATTCAAAATTGAGCAAAAAAAAACCAAACGTAAATTTCAATTAGCTAATCAAAAAGATTTGGGACTATTTGCTGTAAAAGAGTTTGACGTAAGCGAAAAATGTATTGAAGTGTTAGCCACAAGGTAACGTAAAAAACACACTAAAAAGTTTTTAAAATCGATAAGACTATTTGTTTATTACAGAATATTATACTATTCTAAAATATCTTAAATTTGAATTAATTCCAAAATGTCAAAAAAAATTGGGTTTGAGGTAAAATTAATTAAGTTATCAAACATAATAATGAATAATATAATGAGAAATTCATAACTATATCATAATATGTTAAGGGTCTGTAAACACTTCGAGATATATCTTATGATGCTTTAAAATACCACTTTTTGTGTTTGTACAAAAACTAACCTATGCATACAAAACGGGGAGTTGGGGAATGTAGCAATACCGACGCAGTATTAGCATATCTCGATCATGTTCGTCACCTTTGTCCCTCTCACCTCTTGGGTTTCTGCTCCTGAAAAACGGGGATTGACGCGGGAGTTCTCCCGTTTTACGGAGAAAACTAATAATTAACGTACAAACAAATACCTTTCACTATTTCTTTTATTTAAAATACTTAACACTTATACGCAGTACCTTTTTTCACAATACACGACACAACGCTTCACCTCGTCCTCTGGACAGCGCTGGGGGCCTATCCAAGCAACGAACGCGCGCGTGAGTGAGCGAGTGAGCGCGCGTGAGCGAACCCGTGGGAGGAAGCAAGCGCACAGTTGCGTTGAGTACCACTGGCCAAAATCTCCCACTGACGGAACCTACACTGCGCGAAAATTCAAAAAGGCAAAAAATATTAATGTTTATCCCAAGCTATCAAACCTCAGCTCTTAAATCCCATAATCCAATGGAGTATTATCTAACCTCATAAAGGACAGCCACATAATCAATTGGTTATTATTGTTGAATCAGTAATCAAGTTATGAAATAATTATTGTGACTAACAACTTATATTATAGTCCTTTTTTGTGGTTCTCATAGTTAAAAATTGTAATTAACAGTGTAAACCACGGTTAAAAATTATTTGACAACGCCTACTCAACAACATAATGCAAAAATAATTTTGCGAGCATACCTGCACAATGATCTATTTAAAAAAAATTCTTATTCATCCTAACCTAATATACTAGATTCTAATGACCCAGGGTACAAAAAGTTTATAACTTGTTAATTATTTATTTGCAAATAATTTGTTGGAAAAACTTATTCACATAACGACTGATTCTATAGTATTTTTAGTTTGTATTGCGTAGCAATTATCACTGACAACTTGGAGTTGAAAATTTTTGTTAAAAGTATTATTGAATTTAATTTTGTTTTTTTGTTTGCTGCAACTATTTTATCAAGAGTTATTCTACAAACGGTAGAAAAAAAGGAAGAAATCATGACACTAATAGTAAAAATTAAACTTCTAATAAAGAATTAAGGTTTTTTTTCGTTTGCTACAAATAATGTATAATATAGTTAATAATAAAAAATTACGTAATATTCTAATCATAGTATGTTACTAAAAATATAATTGAGCAAAATTCTGACGAATCCTTATACCTGCGATATAATCATCATTTATTATTGCATCTTCATCGTGGTCAGGCACACCATTTATTAACTGATCGTCGTTTTCATGTTCAGGAGGAATATTTCTACAAAACAAATTAAAACATTTTCTTAATGAAAAACGAATACAATGAAATATGCTAATACACTTAAAAATATTGTCTTGTGTTATTATTCAATGTTCGTTTAATTAACAAAGTGGTCACTATAAGTGCCCCGTGTTACATAGTTATAAGCGCTCATGTCATTAATTACTTATTTTTATTAACAATATAAAGAAATCAGTAAACGCCCTAGGTCACCTAGTTAAGGGTGCTTATGTTATCAATAATAAAATGGCAGGGTTACTTGGTTTAAGGTGCTTATGATTTTAGACTTAATTTTGATCTACTACGGAATTGTTTCGATATACTACTAGTATACTTTTAACGAACATTCGTCAGTATATCGCAGATAACATAAATATCGTTGTTTATGGAACGTTTATATACTAGCATCTACTAGTATGTACGAAGACAGTTTAAAATTTTTCTTTCTTTGTTAAGTTAAATTAAGAAAGTACTATTACAGCAGTGGATTTAAATGACTGTTAAAAAGTATTTGTAATACGTACTTATTTTATGTGATAATTGGTTTTAATGGACAGCTTATTATGAAAATAATAACTGAAATTTTTAAGAGTTGTAATTGATTGTGAAATAAAATAAGTTTCTCTATGTGTCAGCACTTGGCCAGAAAGCAGTTACTTTCTGTCTACTTACGTAGCAGACAGAAGCAATGACTTACTGTCTGTAGCAACACAAGCTGTCTGCAAAATACTTGTTTATAGTTGACAAGTTTTTGAGTTTTTTAGTCATCAACAATAAAGCACTTGCCTTATCACAATTATCCAATAATTTTTAACAATCATCTTGACTCTGTTGTCTCCTTTTATTCATAAACAAGTTCTTATTACTTTTCCACACTTTTTTTATTGTTGTCAAGAAAGGAGAAGTTTAATTTTCATTATCAGTGTCATGATTTTCTCCTTTTTTTCTACCAGTTCTATACTAATTCAACAATACTTTTAACAAAAATTTTTAACTCCAAGTTGTCAGTGATAATCGCTACGTAATACAAACTAAAAATACTATAGAATCAGTCGTTATGTGAATAAGTTTTTCCAACAAATTATTTGCAAATAAATAACTAACAAGTTATAAACTTTCTGTACCCTGGGTCATTAGAATCTAGTATATTAGGTTAGGATGACTAAGAATTTTTTTTAAATAGATCATTGTGCAGGTATGCTCGCAAAATAACTTTTGCATTATGTTGTTGAGTAGGCGTTGTCAAATAATTCTTAACCGTGGCTTACACTGTTAATTACAATTTTCCGTCAGTGGGGGATTTCGGCCAGTGGTACTCAACGCAACTGTGCGCTTGCTTCATCCCACGGGCTCGCTCACGCGCGCTCACTCGCTCACTCACGTGCGCGTTCGTTGCTTCGATAGGCCCCCTGCAGCGACTCCACCTTGCACCACGCGAGCCGCGTACGTCCAGCTCGTTCTGGATTAGGAGGGGCTCCTGCTCGTCCTAGACCCACACTACTATGT